TAAAGTACAGTTGAATTGTTTAAGCACAGAAACTCGACTGAAAAACAATATGCAAATCACATGGTGCAAAAGGTTGGAAAGGTTTTCGTTTTTATAACGCATTTATAACACGAAGAAAAAACAGCACTTCCAACAGTACACAGTACTTCGCGAAATACATGTATCACATCGTAGTACCGGGTGCTACTAAGCTTGTTTTGATAATTTAGATTTGCCGCTATTCCGTTCAGTATCCTTTCGTTAATAACCATGCTTCATAAGTTAACGGATCAAAATACTACTAAAATAAGATAAGTAGTTCAATTCACAGTCATAAGAAATTTAAACAGGCTAACGTTTTGAAAATTAGACCTGCGTCAGCCCACTTGGCAAAGGGAAGACACTAAATATGTCAGCTTTTCAAATTTACCACGGATGTTAATTTAAATTGTGTTTAACAACAGGAATTTTTCCAGTATTTTCTACGAGTATGGAACTAGATTAAATTGACCATTTAATAATATTGAGACCTTGCATCAATTGCGTATGGCAATGTTCAAATTTAAAAAAAAATAAACAGTTGCTATGGTTGACGGTTGAGGCGAGAATGTGAGAAGCCCCCCTACAGGTTGCCTTTATCAGCTGCACACCGTTATTTGGGTCATCACCAGGATAACTCAAAGAAGGGCTGCGAGGGACACTGCAATGATGTCCGGTACATTTGCTCTTAGTGAGTCTGAGTACACAAGCGGCGAGAAAACCGAGCAACTGTTTATAGCTAGCTAAAAAATTGACAACCACAGGAAACTAAGTAGAATTACGATACAATTACGATTACGGCTAGAATTACGATGCAATTAAGGCAAGTCCTGGCTATTGTCTTCCATGAGTAACGGCCTTCAATTCATTCCAACTACAGTCAACAAAAGCTTCTTGTAATCTCCGCTGCAGTCTCCTTGAATCATCTTGTACAGGGTTTTATGGTACTTCTGTAGAAAAGTTTGCTTGATTTCAACAAGGTCACGCTGAAAGAGACAACGTACAATTGACTATCACAATAGACTAACGATACGGCTTATTTTTCCCCATTCCATAACTGCAGAGTTCTGTAATTAAATTTTCATGGCTAAGGAGGAAAAAATACACTTCGAAACTGATGATTAGGGAGAGATCAAAATTGACTCGTGGGAGGAGGGGACGTGCCCTATTTAGTTGCTCGCCAGACATGAGTGAGCGAAATAAGATGGAGTCCATTGAAACTGTTATTACGAAATCAAAGGCAATAATTTTTAGCCAGTATATAGATCACAAGGGTATGGTACGTTAATATTACATGGACAGGAAGTAAAATGATGTACTTTATTTTTACTAAGTCCAGTTTTCTCGACCCTCAACTGATCTCAACTTATGGATTTCTTTGACATTTCTTTTCTGTGAAGATGTACTTAATTTTGAACAAGGACGAGACGAGAAAACAGGTCTTACCTCGGAACGAGAAACAACACATCGGATCAAGGTTGAATCATCAGTACCGGCGCCCTTCATGGATTTCCACAGTCGATCAGCGAAGTATTCAGCTGGATTTCTTGCGCATTGTACTGAAACGAAACAATTTCAAATGTACTTCAGTCAGTGATCTACAGATATGTCGTCAACATTGTCTTTCTGCGGTTAAACAAAGGACGAAATGTAAGGTAAAGTTGTAAGGTGAAAACTGTTCGAGACTAGTGGCCCAGCAGGCCGGCGCTTGTCTCCTGTTTAAGCGACTAGGAGTATTTCCACTCCTACCCTAGTTGGGATGCTAGTCCATCACAGGTAGTTCAGTCCCTGAACTCTCCCTCCCCCCGCTCTATTCAGGCACCTGGACCACTCGAGTCCTGTGCACTGACCTTCAGGCCACCCAATTTTGTCTACTCACACCGTGGTAAATCGATTTAACCCAGTACAATCTAAAAGAAGGCGCGGTGGCCTCATGGTTAGTACGCTTGTCTCCGGATCAAGCGGTCCGGGTTCGAGCCCTGGCCGGGGTCATTTCGTTGTGTTCTTGGACAAGACACTTTACTCTCACAGTGCCTCTCTCCACCCAGGTGCACAAAGGGTGCCGGCGGATTTAATGCTGGGGGTAATCCTGCAATGGACTAGCATCCCATCCAGGGGGCAGTAGAAATACTCCTAGTAACTTCATGCTACGGAAACCGGGATAAGCTCCGGCCTGATGGGCCATTTGGCTCGTACATGTACACAATTTTTAACCTTACATCTTATCCAAAACAGGAACAGTTTCCTGTCAGCATGAAATCAAGAGTTTCATCAAACGCAGCCAGTAAGAAAATAATTCTCACCCTCTCTGAGCTGCTCGGTCAACAGCTTGCTCGTTTTGTCCTCCCCAGCGAGTAATGCATACTAGACCCAATTTTGTACGTCCAATTAGACGCGATTGAGGTTTCAGGGCCTACGTATAGACTACATACATGTATACTAACAGTACATGTCCACATGTTTGTTACGACCTGAATTGTTTGCTTCTCCTGATAATTGAAAAGTTACTTCGAACAGGTCGAGTAGCCTAGGTTATACCTCCTTCTAAAAAAAAAGTCAAAGCTTAAAATCTATTAATCAGCAAACATTGAAATCTGAGACGACTTACCAATACACTTGAAACCTGCCTTCAAATCTCCCGACATTTCACGATCGATAGTGTTCAATATGTCACGTTGAGAAACCTGCAAATAAATAACGATGTCCATACTTTGGTCAGTGACCCTCCTTTTATTACTCAACTGCTACGAATACCGTACAAATAATAACAGTACAAATATACAGCGATATTGTACAGTTATTTGTACAGTAGAGAACCTGTCTGCCGGACAGGTCGGTGGGTGCGCGCACAAAATTGTCACACTCTTCCTCTTTCACTGATAAATTTATTGACAACAGTACTTGGACAATAAATCTCTTATTAGTCCACATTGTAATGATAGGCCCAGGATTGATATATGGCAGGTGTTCTTGTTTTTGGTACCAGACTGGCCAGTTAAACGTTAGCGTGCCACTTAGCACAACGAAAACAATCAGAGCAGAAGAATCTCTTGCTACACACCTCCACCCATCTGTAACAGACACCTCTCCAAAGCGACTAGGAAGTTTTCGAAGATACCGTGTATGATCACTTTTTACTCTTATTGAAACATTCCTACAATGGCCACCTCTACACAACGTCCAGTTAAGTTCAAGCCCCAGTGGTTGATATTGTAGAGAGGCTGAACTGTATATAAACATGTAGATAAACTTTACCTTAATATATTCATCAAATGTTGCTCTCAGCTGTGCAAAGTTCCTGGAAGCTAGCACAACATTGAATCGCGATTCATCTGTACCCCATTTCTTCTCACCAGCCTGCAAATAAAGCAACAGGAAAATAATCAATAAACAAAGGGTCCCAGACTTATAGAAATGTCTGCCTGGACCTGCCATTTTACAACTACTGAACAGCAAGATGTCTTGAGTGTTACCTGTAATTTAAACAATGGTCTTCAGGTCTAAGAGAGCCAAGACTAAGACCTGACGGCACAGATTACCGCGACGATTAAGGGAGATGATGTATCATTTGACTCAAAACAAAATCAATTGAAGCTAGCTTGTATTGGATACCTGCGCCCCTTATGTGAGTCTTGTCTTACAGCACAGACTCCACTCAACCAGGAATCCTATCTGGAGTGCTGTATTTTTGAATTCTTACATTATAGAAATAAATTACAATATAATTTACAGAATAAGCTTGTGAGATTAGATCTCTGGCATGATCATACATGTAGTTTCCCTGCAAAAACTGAACGTATTCGAACCTCGTTACCAATAGAGGAAATGCATTGGACACAAGCTACTTTTATTGGTAGAGTAGCCTCTTTAAAACATTTCTTTTACGTCTCAGGAGCCTGCTTTACCTGATATAAGTCTTGAGCCTCCTTTGCAGCCTTGACCATGTCAACATTGGTTGTCTCGTCTCGATTGCCCTTTGTAATACAACACAAAATAAAATGCACAATTTTGCTGCAACTCGAATATTAATTATTAATATTTAATAATAATTATTTTAGCGTCAAATTTCCTTCCGAACCTCTCCCCCATGAGAAAATGTTACTTCCTTCACCATTAACAAGAAGTATTATTCAACCCCAATTTTTCGTTTGTTAGAGAAAATGCTCCTTTGGAAAGTCAAGGATTCTTGCTACTGCGATTTCCTGACACGTCCGTAATGCAGTACAAAATCAGTAGCATTTAGAAACATTTTAAAATACAATCTCGACTCTTAGCAGACACATCACAGATACAATCATTGACAGAAAGCAAGCATGCAGTATTCAAAGCCAAGAGAGTGTGGCATGATCTTCATGACTGCACAGGATACAATTTAATAATTATACATTGTCACTGGCTGTGCATCTGAAGAAAATGGCCAGTTTTCCTATTTTGTGGTTGTGATCCATCTTTCTCTTCCTCAGCCACAAACTTGTTTATTATTAGTTACTACTTCTCTGGTGCATTTCTACCTTAGACCGACTATGATAAAGAGATTTCTTTAATATAAATTACAAGTAATTTTGTTCACAAGAAAAATGACTTTGCATAGCTTGTGGCATAGCTCTTTTTGATCATCAAATTTACCTGACACATGGAGACTAACAGTCTCTTATAATGGCCACTGGTTTCACTGACACAGTCCTTCTCAAGATCACGCTGGTAGTCTGTGAAACAAGTCAACAGAACATGTTTGTAACTGCTGTACTACTTGATAGCATATAGTTTTTAAATAGCCTGAATGCATAGTTACCGATTTAAGCATGGATTATTAACAGCTTTGAACATATAGCTGTAATCCTGTAGGACCCTGTAGATCACGGTTTGCATTTGTACAACTAAGTGAAAATGGCCATTGGTGGTGAGCATGACATAAAAATTATACTACAATATGGACAGCCTTGAAATCATGTACTAAATTAAACAAAACTTTGGCTCATTAGTATAAAGACTTTTTCACAAGGTCAGAGAATAAACTATTAAGAAATTATTAGCCATTACTGTGGTCTACCCAGGCCAAGGCCCTAAGTTCCACGTTTATTTCAATTGTAGTGATGTTTTTCTCAGATCAAGATATCTAATATTTGCTGCATCCAGGGGTTACCATTTTTTGGTGTTACTGTTGTACATATCAAATTTTTGATTGATAGAAATATTCTTCAGTTTGCAGAAGTAGTTAAGTCTACTGCTGGGACTATTCTGTCATAGACAATGTATTGACTTTTCCTATTTAGTTATACACTCACATTCTTTGTAGAGCCTCTTGATTTCATTAATGTCCTTAAAAAAGAAATGCAAATCATATCAGTTTCAAATGACAAAACAAAGAGAAGTAATACCCACTGAAAGGTGTGCAAATGTTCTGATGAGACAAAGTCTTCACTTTTACATCCCATCATTCATTCTCCCAGTATATGCACTAGCTGTCCATGTTGAAATCTACATATATACCATCCTCTAGAATATCATTTGATCCCTTGGGAAAACGGGATTAAAATCCTAAAGAACCCTGCACAAGCTCTACAGGATCATGTCCAGCAAGAGGATCCTGAGAAGGATCCTGTGCCAGATCATATGCTGGGGTCTCTGTGCCGGGTCCCTATGCCCGGTCATGTGCCGGGTCCTGTATGTGCCAGACCCTGTGCCAGACCCTCTTACAAAGGATCTTAACTGAATTTAATAGGAGCTTGTAGGATCCTAATGGGATCTGTGCACAATTTCTACTGAGGTTGAGTATTGCTGACAAACCTGGTTACTCCGAGTACAGAGAATGTCAATCAAAGCCTCTTCATCAGTTCCAGCACCCTGAAATAACAAGAGCAAAGTCTTCTGTTAATATGAGCCTGCATTTCAACAAAGGTACATGTATACTGTGGTCCATTGCAAACCCTCAGGAAACTGCAGTAGCCAAACAGTTAGTGTGTTGGGACACTGGAGTAAAGATGCTGGTGCAAGCCTCATTAGAATGCCAAGTCAGACAGTTTCTACAATGCATCTACACGTATCTACCAGGAGTAATTAAACTGTAAATTAAATTATGGATCACCCAGACAAAATGCAGACACTTTTGTTCGACAAGAATGTCACTCAGTATAAGAAGCAATACTCAGAGAAGCTTCATGCTACAGAAACAGCAGTTAGTAATTATTATTAGCAAGAGTTATTTCTAAAATCACCAGCATCCATGAAGATTCTCCTTTGCCGAGAAATAAAATAGACTTAAATCCTTTGTGACTTAAATTTAAAATTGGTTAGCTGATACTGTAGTTGCAATTGACATTTATCAAAGTCTTGTACGCTAGTTTATTTTCAGTGAAGGACGTTACATTTCAGAGGACAACCGATGGATAGTAGCGATCTTTACACACACCATATCATTAATAACATTATTTAATCTTAGCCAACTAGAGCTGGAAAAACTGATTTAGTGACATGCCACATAATATCACGGTTGTTTGGCCAACACTTACCCTCATGGCACGTCTCAGACACTTTGCGTCATACAGAACAGATGGCTCAAGCAAGGCCAACAAACAATCTTCAAGGTTACCACTTAACTCTGACTTGAGATCATTCATCAAATCCTAACAAATGAAATGAACAATAACATAATTTGATATTAATAACCATTAATTTATTTTTTGTAGTTACTTAATTAACTTATTAATTAAAGTTCTATTACTTTACACAAAATACAATCAAAATTAGCACCGTCCTATATTCTGACTACTAGCACTGTTGTTCAAACATGGTACACCAGTATCAGATTAACCAGCACTGACCAGATACAAGTGTACAAGGTGTGCTTCCTGATACTACGAAATAATTCATACCCTGATGTTATCAACCTATTTGATTCAAAAGCAAAAATTAAAAAAAACCCCTTAATTATATACTTGGGTCAAAAATTGTTTCTTATCTAGAGGTGAGCATGACCATGAAATGTGAAAAAAAAAAACCATCATGATGACATTTTTTTTTTGGTTAAAAAGTAATTACTGGCAACTACTAATAGTAATTACTCTTAATTTTTAATTATTAAAAAACCAAACTTGAATGTAACCATATTTTCCAGACAAATTGTAGAATGGCTGCCATCCAAGACCATTATAAAACCTACCTTTCCAAACATTGTTTTGTATCGCTTTCTGATTTCAACTCTCTGTGCATTGCTTCGTTTGACAATGATGTCAATAAGAGTCTGTTCATCTGTGCCTGGAAGGAACAGAAATTGAAAACAACAATAGACTGAATCAAAAAATATTGTCATGAAAAATTAAAACAATTTTAAAATAATCTAACATATACTGTCCGAGGTATTTTTTGATCCACTGGGAGCTACATGTTTTGTATGTATCAAATTGAAAGATATGTTTATGTTTGGATAGAGTTTTGTAACTTCCATTGCTACCACGATAGGACAACAACAAGAACAAACAAGTTATAGACAGCAATAGACAGGTTTAGAAGCATCTAGATCATTATTCTTGACTGATCTTGAATGTTTGTGGAAACAGTCAAATTGTAATCTTCTTGATGTTTAACCATGTTATGCAATAATTACCTAACTATGGCTACATTATATTAAACTGACAGTCATGTATTCTTGCTACGCAGTTTTGAAATGTTGTTGCCAATGAAGATACAATCAATTGATTGATGTGTCAAATTGTAATCTTCTTGCTGTTTAACCATGTTATGCAGTAATTACCTAACTATGGCTACATTATTGCTGCGGAGCGAGTGTAGCGAGCGAGCAGCAACATAATCAGGATTTAAGAAGAATATATAGAAGGGGGTACGAATTCTC